TACGCTCTTTCTGTCAACATACCATGAATTGCCTGTGACCCTACATTACATGCACCTCATCAGTTGCATTCTAGGAGAAGCAGAGTCATCATTTTCAGGGTCAGAGAAATCAAACTCTCAAGAGGAGAATTTAACTCACTGTCTTTAATCATTGAGAAGAACCAATGACCTTCCTCCTGCTGAGCTTCCACTACCCCAAGCTCTCAACTCAGAGAAATCATAACAGTACCAGCACGGTCCATGGAACAGAGTAAGTCTTTGAGATTTTATAGAGAAACCCTGGTAAATTTGAAGAACAATGTTGCAAAATCCTGCCAGGTGTGCTCCCCAGCCACACAAATTCAGATGCCTTGCAGGAGACTGGAAGCAAGTGCAAGGGAAAGCTGCTGTGTTAGCATCCTGTGTGCCTGCCACTGGCTTGTGCATACTACCCTTATTTGTCTAAATGTCTACAAACTACACAAACATTTTACTTGTCATACATAAAGCCTCCTGTTCATGCTGTAAAGGCAAGTTCACAAAACTATTTTACAATAATGTATCAGCTGCAATCAATAAAACTCTGAAATTTATACCAGCTGAGAATCACACTACTTCTTTTAGGTGCTCAGTTTTTCAAGTGGATATTTCTTTAAAACCCACACTCTACAAGTTATAAGTTCTGGTATGTAGTTTATTTTCTTTTGTCACTGACCTGGGAACCTCTTTATATTCTCTTGATGGATTTTTTTTATACCAGCTCTCATAAAGAGATTTTCCTTCAAACCCCTCATCAGGACTTGGTATCTAGGAAAAGTATATTGTAAAAAAAGACAAAGGGTACAATCTTAAATGTTACCAAGCAACAAATCTACAACCTGTCACCACAGAAAGCCTATGGCTTAGGGCAATGAGTAAGTCACAGTCTTAAGTCCCTCAACCTTCCTGCATTTCCATTTTAACATTTCAAATGCATAGCATTTTCCAGAGGAATAGTTTAGTTGCTAAAACCAGGTAATTTTAGGTGGAAGAAAACACAGGGAAAGAAGAACATTTCAAGTCAATATTTACATTCTGATATTTCTTTGAGATTTTCAGCCATTTAATTTAAATATTCAACACAAAAATCCCTCACAAAACAAACTTGTTGTCTCACTTTGCCAGGAAATTTCAGTTTTGTCTTGGCTTAATTCCAAACTGTTTCTACCTTGGTTTAGTTCACAAAAATTGTTTTCATGGATGCAGCAGAAACCTTAGAAGGGCAACGTGTAAAATACTTTGTGTTTATGGCATCACAGCTGCTACAGAGGTATACAAATCATGATCTTAAAGTTCATTCCTACCACTCTGACTACTTTCTAGATTACTGAGCAGGTTAAACACTGGGGGTATTTTTTCATCTTTCCTTTTTACTGGTGGGCTGCTGAGGTTTTATTATCTTTAATATATTAAAGATTATCAATATCTATTATATTATTAATACCTATATCTACTCTGTAAGAATTACTCCATAACAGGAATAAAAATAAAACGAATATATCAGTTTTTATGATCCTTGAAGCCAATTGTTCACAGACCAGCACTAATAGTGTTAATAATTTTTGCAACAGATTAACTTTGGATGGGATCACATAGGACCTGCTTTCTGATCAGCATTCTCTTCAGATATATTTGCTGCTAACAAGCTGTGTTTACATGTATTCATCAGCTTTTGTTGCTGCTTCCCAGCTCGAGGAAGGATTATGCAACCATGTTTACTGGTATTTAGGTCAACACTTTAACTTTGGGCTCTCAGTGCCCAAACTGAGATTCTACTGACCTGATTTTCTGACTGTTCTAAACACCTGCACTTAGCACAAGTTACCATGGGAACTGCAGGTAATCAGCTCTTCTGCAGTTCAGGACAGAAATATCTTTATCCAGGCACCTAATTTTAACACAGTTAAATTTTATTTGTTGTCTTTCAATTTCCAGAAAATTATTATAATGAATTACCACATTTCATTTACTTTTGTACTAGTCTAATGCCAGCTTCCAAGAGATAAAAAATTATCGACCCTGGAAAAGGCAGATGACTGAATATATGCAGCAGATGAAGACAGATATAGTAGGTACATAGAATAGATACAGCGGTTGATTGTACGCTATATATATATATGTATATAAAACACACACAAAGAAGACTAATTAAAAGTTCATGCTTTAACAGAGATGACCAGAAAACAACCCCAGAAATAAAAAGCCCTTAGTGCCAGCTTCTAAGACCCAGTCCCGAAGCAAGGAACACCTCACATCGATGATGGTGGGGCTCTTTCCTGAGAAAGGTCCCTACCTTTAAATTTCGTGTGCCACACAAATATGTGCGAGAGCATCATGGTCAGAGCACAATAACATTGACCAAACCTGTCATACCATGCTAAAAATAATACTGTAGCAATTTCTTCCCCTGCCTAAAGGGACTCAGCCTCCCACTACCATTGTCACACTAGTAGTTGGACTGGGCAGCCAGGCCTGTGCTTGTTTCTGAACTCTGGCCCATTACATTTTTTTATTCTTTTATTCTTAGAAGGAAAAATTTCACAGGAAGAGTGGAAAATCCCCTAATCCTGAATAGCTACTAATTTAAAGGTATAAACTTGAAATCCCTTTTCCGCTCCTGTGAAAAAGCTCCAGTTACTTGGCTACTGACTTGAAAGGGGTACCACAGTCAGAAAAGAAACATCTGACACCATATTTTATACAGAGAGGCCATCCAGTAAGTGAGCACTGAACATGCTGGCTAAAAATTTCAAGCAATATTACCTCTTTAGTCAGATTGTACACCAGTCTGTACATCAGTGGTGTGCAATCCACTCGCAGTGTGTAGTTTCCTGAAAAACAGGAAACACTATTTATTTGAGGAAGTAAGCTCTATCCAGGTGAAACTTCATGCCATTACTTGTTAATAAGAAAGGGAGTAGAGGTCTACACTCTCTACAAGTAACATGATGATTCTCCCTGTAAGAGAGTTATCCTGTGATCATGTCAGTGCATTTGTATTGGTTAAGATGAATCACAGCCCAGCTTTTGAAGCAACCTTAAGAGCTTTTCTGATGTCCCTATGTTTATTATGCACATTATAAGAGGAGAAACTGACTTTAAAGAGTTGCCATAGAACTGCTGACAAGGGTACACCGCTTCTTGTCCCTCCCCATGACTTTCCAAATAGCATAGCTACTGTAATGGACTTCTTCCCTGAAGCAACAGGAATATCTGAAGGATACGTTGATTCTGGATCACAGTTTCTTCTGATATCTACTCCCGAACTAATGCAACAAAATTATCATATTGAAGCTTTTATGGATCTCCAAGCCAAAATGCCTCCCAGTGACCTGTATATGCCATCACTCTTCCTGTAAAACACAAGTCAAAACTACGTACCTTCGATGGAGGAATCTGCATTGATATAAGCCACTCCCCGTGCTTGCAGTACTTTGGCATTTTCCTATGAGAAGGAAAAGAGAAAGAAAATGCTGATTAACTTTTTTTTTCCTCAAAACAATTTTCCCATCCACAGAAGTAACCGCTGTTTCAGGGAAAGACATCATATACTGCAAGGAGCCATACATATTCTTGGTAGTTCAAGAGAAAACTTAGGCGAGTGTGTGTGTGTGTGTAAGGAAGAGAGAGGTAGGGAGGGAAGAAATGTTGCTTTCTAGTACAGATTTCTCAAAGATCTGCCACTGTGCAAGTGACAAATTTGCAATTTTCTCTCTGAACACTATTGGTTTACCTCAGCCCACTCTGTTGATCCTAACAAGCCAAATTCCTCTGCATCCCAGCTTGCAAATATCACTGTTCTCCTTGGCCTCCATCCTGTAATAAAAGACCACGAAAACTGTATTAGAGAAATAAAGACTGCTTGCTACATGGTACCTAATGTGAAAACAAATGTAATTTTTTGGGAGCTCATCTTTTATCTTGATCTGCAGGAAAAGAGGTGTGTCTGAGAAACTTTAACCTCAACTTTTTCACTAACCTAATCTAGTAATGGTTTGCTAATTTTGTGGCAACCTCACTTCTACTTCAATATTGTGCCAAATAATGTATTCTTTTTCTTCTCTCAGCTTCAATTGCAATAACATTTTCTAAAATTCAAAACTCTGAACATGGAAAAATAACGTGCTTGTACACAAATTCTTGAAAGAAAGCTTTCCTACTATTTTTGCTCTGTTCAATTCAGTACACATTGTATACCAGTGTCTACTTTGACAGAAAAGTGTATGGCATGTTTTCATATCTGTGACTGAATTTCTTTGACCTGTCTCCCAAATGCTGAATTTCAAAACCTAAGGAATTCCCTGTAACTTTGACAGATCATCTTCAAAACAAAGATCTTTCACTTGATGTCCTGCCCTCGATTTAAACCCAGGACAAATGGAACAGGCTCTACTGCCCCACCTCTCTGTCTCTTCTCAAAGTCTTCCTGGAGTCTACTGGGACCTTTTCATTTTTTGCTCACTTTCTTTTTTACCTCCTTTTTTTTTTTCCCCAGCTTGCATTCCAAAGACGGTTTCCCCTGATATCCAGTAACTGGGAGGGAATGGAAAGAAAACGTTCTAAGTGTAATGGGTAGGCAAACAAAGCTCCTTTAGCACAGTATCTGAGTTACGTCAGAGCTTCTTTCCATGGGATGTCAGATAGGGTGATAACATTTGCTCTGACAGCAGCAGAAACTTGGTACAGTTGATATTTGTTTCTATTCTAACATAACTAGGCGTGATGTATTTTTAACCTCCTACTATGTTTGCACAGCTCACTCTCTGCATTATCTATTCTTGCTTTATCTATTCTTGGGTCTGTCTCTAAACTACGGTCAAGTGCTGAGAAGGCTCTTGATCTTGCCCTGATGAAGCCTTGATCAGTCCACGACTGTACCAATTTCTTAGGACCATTGAAACATCCAGTTTGGCCAGCCTTAAATACACAGTAATCAATTGTACCTCAATGTCATATTTATTTCAGTATCCCCCATTTGGTGTTTTGTTTTCCTTTAGGTAAGTACCTCACATATACCAAAGTTGTAACTGGAACTAAATAAAAGCTGAAGAGCAACGTGCTTATTCGAGAGATGAGTGAGATACACATGCTTAATTTTAAGCATGTGCTTAAATCCCAGAGAAATCAATGGGCACTGCTGAGAGCAGTCATTTTAGTGTACTTTATTCTTTCATTACATTACCTTTCCTTTTCAGTTTTCCAAAGCTCCTTACAATCTCGTGAACCACAGCTGCCCCACTCTGAGGATCAATGCCACCAAATACCCATGAGTCGCGGTGGCCTCCCAGGATGACATATCTGTCTAGAGAAATTAATTATGGAGGTTTACTTAGAAAAACCTTTTTTCCTGCCATAGAGCTGTTAATTGGAAGTAATTTCTAATTTTCCACATAGGTGTCAGGCAACAAAGCTTCATAGTTTATAATACACATCATAGGAAGCCAAAAGACATTTTAAATCTCCAAAGATATTTTTCCACATTTTCAGCCAGTGCTAAAGAATTTGTCAAACATAGTAACTTGATCCTGTAAGACTTAAAACCTCCTAAATTCCATAATGTTACTTCTATTATTAGAAATACTGCAGCTTTCCTCTGAAGACAGAAGCATCTTTCCACATTTCAATATAGTGTGTTTCATGGTAAAGCTGATCCACTAATTGTACTTGTACAGCATGCCAACTCACAACATTAAGGTGTGCTGAATGCACTATTTCTCTGAATATATACATATAGTCAATCATAAAAAGGGTTGTCTAAATCACGACAGAGATGTGATTAATAAGATCAAAGTCAAACTAGATCTCTGTGCTACTATAATGTGGTTAACAGTGCATTTCAGGCAACAGGGAAGTGCTGCAGTTGCAAGTTAGATGATGTTATCATCATCCTAGGGATGTCTATATATCTGGTTTCTTAGAGTGGAAAATTACACTGGTTACAAGAGACTGTAAGACAGCCAAAAAGTCAATAGCGGTGGATATAATGTCTTCAGATGGAATGCTAAATCCATTCCCACGTTAATAGGGAAGAATATCCACTTAAGAATATTCTTTCAATTGCAAAGTTACTTGCCTGAACACAAATGTTTCTGTCCTGGTTATGACTCCCCCGTGAAAATCAGCATTACAGTGAAAGTGCTGACATACCCTGAACCATATGAAAGCTGGTGCAATAAATATTTCAACACCAATGATCGTGTAGTACAATATTTCAGAGAAAACTGTATTCCTCATTTCTCCCTTGTAACTATGAAGTGCGTGTAGAGGTCACTGCACGCTCACATTACACTGAGGACGAATGATGTTACCTGGTTCCACTATGCCTCTGATGGTACCAATCACATTGTAAATCCTTGTTACCTCATTGTGGCTATGAACGTGCATCTTCACCTTTCTAGTGCATTGGGAAGAAAATACAAAGAGAAAATCCACCAGATTAGGTAACAAAACACCTTGACATCTTTCAAAAGTGTACAATATAAATTGTAAGGAAAGCATTTCAGCCACATTTACCCTTCATTAAACCAAAGTAAATCTGAAAATATTTCAGCGTAGTTTTTTCTGGATTTATACTTGTCCAATTGAGAACAGCATTTAGTCCTTGAAAGCTATGTACTGTTAGTGATGTCAGTAAGATTTATATGGTAACAGGCTCAAAACTCCAAATTCAAAGATTTTTTACTAGCAGCTAGTTTCTAAATTTGGAAAACTGAAAGAAAAATTAAGACCATCTAATGTTAAAAAGGTAAATAGTTCTAATCATTTAGAGGCTGGTACAAACTAGAACTGACTCCAGCACAGTCAAGACTGATGTGGCACCTCGGGCAGCAGAAAATCAGACAACCCGGGCTGCATCAAGCCACTTTGTTTATCTACAACACACTTGGAGGTACAGAAACCCAACCTCAAGGGTTGTCTGTGTATTTTTCAGAAAGAATTTTTCATGTGGTATGACTAAGACATAGAGAAAAGGTAAAACGAGTCATATGAATACAGTGTGATAGCTCAGCCAATATTGAAACACCTGGACTTCAGGCCTGAACTGTAATTACTAAATTATTTTTAAAAATCTGAAGCAATAAAACTTACATTGTAGTTAAAATTTTTTTTTTCCGGAAAACTTGACTTGCAGGTTAATATTGTTTAATATAAGGCAATAGGTAAGACCAGGAGCTGGACCCACATGAATTTAAAAATTACAACAAGCAAATTCAGTTCTCAAAAAAACAATGAGTCTCATCAAACAGTTTGTCAAAGGCTAGATGCTCTTCAAAAGAAACTGGTTCAAGACTAGCTGGAAACTAAAGTAATTTAGTCGTATCCAGCCAATCAAGATATAAATGTACTGAAGCTTTGCACTGAGCGCATTTCAGCCCAGGAAATGGTCACAGTCAAAGGAATGGTGCGCATAACCCCAGCTACTCTACCTCTGCTCATATGCTATTGATTTACCTGGTTTTCTCTGATCCCAAGCATGCTTTCCTTATGAAACCAAAACTGACCTTGTAGAATAATTTGTTGTGAAACCAGGACCAACGTTGTAAGATATATTCAGGTTTCCTTTCCAGCTACTATGCGGTGGTACATGTCCTCCCATATTACTATTACAAAAAAAAAAAAATTATCATTATTAGTTAGATACTTCTTACAGTAGCACTGAACAAAAATGAGGAACTAGGAACCACACTGTGTTAGGTCTCATGCACGCACAGACCACAGTGACGGTCTTTGACTTGGACAATTTATATGACAAGCTTCCACAGAAGAATAATCTGACTTTTTAGCTACATTAATACTAGTAAATTAACACAGAGGAATAGCCCCGGGCATTGAGATCAGGTTGGAATGGCCTACAGCTATCCTGGAGAACACTGCTGGCCTCCAAAGGTTTTGCATACAAACTGCCTCTTGGAAATGGTCTCTGGAACTTTCTACTGCCTTGAACTGCATTCGCATTTGAATCAGCAGAGGGTAACTTGGCCCATTCTAACAGTTTAACAGCACAGGCAGTTATCTTCCAGTGCCTGTCCCTGGACACTCTTTAATCCCGTAGCACAGAGTTGACGTGTTTCCAAGATGTCTAAAACTGGAGAAATACAATCAGTCAAAGTCACCTTTTCTTGTTCCGTTGTCAAAGGTGAGCTGTTATTTCTCAGTTAATACAACTGCAAATGCAGTAATTCAGTGGATTGCAATTGCCAATACTTATTCAGCCATTCTAAAAGATTTATATTTTTGACATGGGCTTGTGAGAAACATAAAAAACATATTAAAAAGTATGCTGGATGTTCTGGTTCTTATTAGGCAAAATATATTTATTGTAAACAAAAGCACGTCCTGTACTGTAAATGCGTCAATGTTTATTTTACCAAACACTTCAGCTTGTCTTCAAGTCCTCAGTATACTTTTTATATAAAAATATGATAGCAGGAATAACTAGAAGTTATGACTTCTCAAGACAAAAGGGAAAACAAGTACCCAGTATTTTTACACGACCTAGATTTCATTCATAATTATTAAAACCAAGTTCTAGAATTATTTACAACTTATTTACAAAAAGAGAAATATCTAGCTACACCATATTTTATATTAATCTGCTTTACCACTACTAGCTGGCAATAGAAAAAAGAGAGTTTTTAACCTATACCTTTATCAATATGAGCAGTTATCCTCATAACAGTGATGACCACAGAGTTTTAAAGAAAAGACAGTTTGGAGATACATTAGTACATAAAAGTTTTGGAGGAAAAACAGTAGAACATCAGGTATGCAAAGACACCAAAGACAGTAAAATTCGCCTCATATAAAAATAAATAGCTTCAATATTCCAGAGGAAAACCTGCATAGAGAACCAAGATAGAATATTTTATTTTCACTTGGTATTCCCACAGCTGCATAAGACATAGCAGAATGATTGCTCATGTGATTTAGATGTAAAATTCCGACACAAATGCACAACCAAGATGATGTTCATTTATTGCCCTAAACACTTATCTGTGGTACTGTTACCAACCCTGGTATTTTCTGCTCTGCATCTCTGCAATTGATGCAGGTGATTACTGCTACATTTTTAGGGGAATGATTCACTTGTCAACTCAATCACATCCTAGTTTTTTCAGATAACTTATTTGGTTTGTTAAGATAATTCTGAATTTTAACGCTGTCCTCTGGCAAGCTGGCAGCCTGTCTTCACATCACTTGCACATTTAGTAAGCCCACTCACTTACACTTGATGTCTACTAAATCTCCTATAACACAGAGCTCCCCCAGCATCCATGTATTATTTCACTAGCACTATTTTATGTTTATGCAACATAGTACACCTGATGAGAGAAAGCACATGTCTTCACTTAACAGAGGACAGTATAGACACTGTCCCATGAAACATGCATGGCAAGCATTTCTCTGGATAAATGAATGACTTTATTTGTGGTCTTTTTCACAAGACAGGTATCATGCCATCCTCAAAACTTTTTGCCTTTATTCAAACTGAGGGACTTCAGTATACTTGACCGATTATGATATATTACAAATGATCCTTTCCAGACCACTCTGCACATATACGTAGTAATAGATAACACGTTTATCTCCTACAGAGAACCTAACAAACACACTATTTCAACAGCCACAGTAGAAGCAAAGTGCAAAAGCCTTTTCCTTTTCTTTTCAAATACTCTCATAACTTTCAAAAAAGAGTCTGCTTAAAATTCCTCATGTCTCCCACGCACTTACCACAGTAATGACTCAGCATCATGATAGCCAATGGGATGAACTGGAATTTTTGGGAGACCTACACCACTGGCTTTGTCTAATCGGTAGGTGTATTCTGAAAGGGAAAGACAGACATTTTCATATTTACAACTCTCAGAAGGAATCTGCACAGTTCATAGCACAGCCCTAGCACTGGAGCCTGGGATAATCACTTCACTTTACTCAAAGTCAGGCTGACATTTCTTCAGTGATTTCATTCTTTAAGCTTTACCAACATGTTTTCAGAGAGACACTAATAAAAATTCTCCCATAGTGTCTGCAGTTATGCATTTAGAACTGGCTGTAAATTTTGCTAACTTTTTGCATTAAAATTTTTTCAGGTAGAAATATTTCTCTCCATGGGAAGGAGCTTCCAACTAAGCCAGAGAGAAAGAGCAAGAGCAAAGAAGCAACCTGTAGTCTGATGCTTGGAACATCAGCTGGGAACTAAAAAAAATTTGCCAGTTCATAAGAGGTGGAGGCAAGATCTTATACACTGAGCTACTGAATATTCTGTTTTGCTGTTTTTGTGAACAAAATGAAGTCTAGGTTTTGTTCTGACAGAGCTCAAATACAAACAATTTTTTTTTTTACAAGTGACAATCTTAATTTTCACAATGTGGACAAAACTTGATGTTTGCAACCCAGCAGATAAGGAACAGCTTCCTCCTCAATACAACATTCACAAGGACCCTTGTCAAGGGAAGCAGACAGAGGTTCATTATGAGATCACTGACTCTAGCATGAGGAACCAGAAATCTTCCTCATGGTCTGCTCCTGCCATGCTGCTGTTGTGAACACATCTCCTCCTCCAACACAAGCTGTGCTGGCTGAAGGCAACATTCCCCATCACTTAGGGACTGTTCTTTTTGAGGCGACTGTCTCCCTCAGATACGCTGGCTCAAGTGCTGGCATGAATGGTTCTTAATGCATTTCAGCCAAAATTGTCTGGGTTAGGTGCTAAATTAAACAGCTTAGGGAGAGCTCAAATAAGCAGCTGAGGAAGCCATGAGGTGAAGGTGATGAACCAGTGGGGTATGGTCATCTTCTCAGCAGCCTCAGCCAGGTGACATGAGTCCCAGCATGAAAGATCTCAGTACAGGCTTTTGTGGAGAGAAAGCAGCCCAAATCCTGTAGAAAAGAGAACTGTAAAAGCAAGGAAACCTGTGAGCTGTGCAGGTTGCCTCCTTGCTGACTTACTGATGAGAAACTGAAAGAAAAGACTAGGGCTTCAGCTGTCAAATCCTTGTGTCATGATCTCTGGGCTAACTTGGGTATTTACGTGAAGTTAGGAAGCCCAGCACTGCACTGTGTGGCTCCCTTAGCATCCCCTCACTTTCTTTCATGCACCATTTACAGAAGTAGCCTACTGACGCAAAGCCCAAAGCTGCCTCTTTTGAGCAACAGAAAGACCAAGAAATAACGGCATTTTTTTTCCAAGGGAAAGAACACCCCCATTACCTTCACCTCCTCTCCTGAAACCAGACCCTTAGAGCATGACTTCTCCAGTGTCACTCACCTTTCGCAGGATAACCTGGTGTCAGAGGATCCCCTGCTCCATTCAGGTTTAACACATTTCCACGCTGGGCTCCTCCGCCTGGAAGGTTCCAGCCATCTGGATAGGGATCTACTCCTGGGGCACAGTAGTCAGCAGGGTCAGAGTACAGAATCACTCCCTTGGCACCTGCCAATTCAGCATTCTTCACCTGCAAAGCACATCTCCAGTCCCTATCCAGTCCTTTACAGCTTGACACAAGAGTTCAGGAGGCAAAAGAAAGTATTATAAATTACAGTTGTTATTCCCCAGGGCCTTTTACAGTGCTTGGGCTAAGTAAAGGGCCTATAACTGTCTCATATCATGAAATTTCCTCAAAATATATATGCAGATATCAAGGTTCCATATGAAAGTAAGAGGTTTGCCATTGCTTTGAATTTTAGTTAGGACATAACTGCACAAACATGGAAAATATCCTTCACAGTATTACTACGTAACCTGAATTTGTATTCTGTCACCCAGATCAATACAGTCAACTGGCTACAGAAATGCACACATCATGGATGAAAAAAACTGTATCACAATGATTGCAACCTTATCTTTCAGTTGGTTATATATGTACCCTATTTACCTAAATGATCTCCTAACATATCTCAGGGGTCAGACTACACAGAAAGATTACTATCAGAGAGCTTGAAACTGTCTTTGGCTGTGAACAAGCCTAACTCCAAAGAGGCTTGTTCACTAGGCTTAGGCTTATTAAGGTAGAAGAACTGACCTACATGCAGTTTTGATTTTAAAAAGTATTGTCATGCAACTTTATCATTGTATAATCCTGGCTGGTGGAGAGTAAGACAGAGAAAATATATGTCATTCTGACATCCCAATCTATTTTGCCACTAGATAAGACAGTGACGTATAGTGACTGAGTGACAACTAATCCTCAGCAGTTTTAAATCTGGGTATTTTTATCCATCAATATCATGGGGTTTTTTAGGAAATGCAGTACTTGCCTTCATCCTCTATCCTATTCTTGCACACCATTAAGAAGTTGGAAAATGACAATACAGTTCTCCAGATTTTATACAGGCTACCGAGTTCTTCAGTATATACACAGTCATTAGATATACTACGGTAAGAATGAACATATCAAACCTTTGTGTCAACAAGGGCATGTAATTTCTAAACCACAGGACAACTGCACCTCTAAATATTAGAGATTACTCTGAGATGCTTGTATTTAATTTTAATAAAAGATTCATGGACAGCAGTACCTTCTTAAACCTTTATGTCTTTTCCATTCAGATACTAATTTTAAGAGTGGTAAACAATTTAGTGAAAATATTATCTGACCCAGAATATGAGTTACATGTCACTTTTCACTGGAAAAAATGGTATGTACATAAACTAGTGAGTTACCCACTTAAAAGCTCACAGAAGATTAGTCAACAGCGTATAACAAGAGTGGGCATTCCAGTAAGGAGATTAAGTGTTTGATACCCTTAGATAACTGAGAAATACATATTATAGCCCTGCACAAATTAGGGTCAAACTGATTTTTGTACAAGAGTCAAACACACTTAAAAGAGACTCTCTTCTTACATCCCTACTGAGGAAATAACTTGAGTATATGCCTGAAGCATGCACATGACTAGATACTTTCCTGTCAGGGCATGGAAATATACAAAAAACTGTAGTTTAAAAACATTTATATGATAGGGACATTGAATAAACAAATACAGAACTTCAAATAACCTCCATATAGTTATAGCCTCTGTCTGGTGTACAGGAACCATTATAAAGAAACCCTACAGGCATCTTAAAGCACAGCTGAACTAACAGCGAATAACAGTCTAGTTCAGAGTTAGAGCGTATTACCCAAAAATGTTAGTAGTATTTTGGAACAATTTACAGTATGCAAAAGAATATAAAAATACATAACATTTCCAACTTATTTACTTTTATCCTATAGAAGTATTACATACATATTAAATATATATTTTATATCTTCTACTAAAGAATCACCTTTGAACACACCTCTATGAAAACTCACCTATGCTAAAATCTCCAGGACACTTTAGGTAAGTGTCTCAGTCTCGAAATCAACTGAAGGACAACACAAGCAACACTTTTATACAAAGGCATTACCTTATTTCCTCTGAAGATCTTCCCATATCTGGCAATAACAATCTTTCCTGTACAGTTAATTCCCATTTCACGTTCTAGCTTAAAGAAGTCCTCAATGCGGCCGTAATTCACATACACTAACTCACCCTGAAAGAAAAAGGTAGAATTCAAAACAAGAATGTCAGTGAGCATGTCAAAAGGAGGATGTGATCTAGTAAGAGAAAAAGCTAGGAACAATAAGATCCAGGACTGGCTCTGGCATGAATTCTTTGATCATGAGACAATTAGGTAGTCAAGTAACTTCTAATGAATTTAGACTCCTGCCATCAAAAGTTGACAGATTTTGTCCTCTATGGAGACTGTTAAGATATGACTTCTAAATCAGAAACTTAAGAGTAAGCGCTCAGAATATGGCATTTACTTCTCTTTTTAGTCTGTTTAAGCTGTAGGCAGTCTTGGACAGCGGGAGGTATTTCGGACCCAGACACAACAGTAAGCAACAACTGTATTTTATGCAGTACCAAATGATGCTAATATCCTATGAAATTCTCAGGACTCAGTTCTTATTCAATACAGCAGAAGCTACAGGCAGTTGGCTGTCAAATAAATACACCCTGCACATGAATAACGTATTCTTCATGACTGAGTTTCAACCATGCTATTCAATACTTGGTGCATGAATCATCTTCCTTAATGTCAGCTACCTAAAAGTTGTGTGCACTAAGAAAGTCCTGTAGTGCACTCCACAGCCAATGAAGAGGTGGGAAGTTCTCTGAGAACTCACCCTTTCCAGGAGAATTCACCCCAAATCTGTTTTAAACACCTATTTTAGGAAGGAATAAATTTCCCTCTGAATATACTTCTCATTGATTATACCTCAAAGACTGTTTTAGAGTAAATGCCCATAAAAAGCCTCAAAAACTGGTTTAGGGAAAATGCCTACAATTTCAGACAACAACAATTAGGTGACAGGAAACTCATAGTGCATTTCTCCATATTACCAGACACAACCAGAGAGAGCGTCAATTTAATTTCAAAAAGGTATAAACTTATATCTCTTATACGGATGAAAATCGCTGAGTAGACATTCAGATGGACTCATGCAACAGCATACAGCATGTCCTGATAAGACTGTGGTACAGTCATTTTGACTCTACTAGTTTCATCAGTAATCTGCTCAAGCTGAAATTTCTTTTTAAATTATGCAAAAAATAAACTAAGGATAAATTACTGAAATAAAGGGGGCTGTATCTAAATAAGACAAAAAGTGTCACACCTAGTAAGATTCTGGTCTGCTCTGTTCAGAAGATTAGTCATAAACACAAGGATTGATCTTGGGGAGACTTTTCTGAATTTATGGAGTAGTTTTCCCTCTCAGTAAAATCAAGTGTAACTCTACTGAAGTCAAGACAGTTCTTCCAGTCTATTTAGATTAAGCAAAAGGGGAATTAGGTCCTTCATTTTAACAGAATTTCTTTAGAATATTTGGTACAGAAGACTTACATTTGTAAGATGTTTTATTTTTTATGACAAATATAAAAATGTTGATCTCAATAGTTTGTCTTACGTAACTGCAGAGCTGTAATTATAACAATTAATAACAACCTACCAGTTTCTTGTGTTCAGGGCAGATGGGAAACAATGGTGCATAGTCACAGAAATATCTGGAGAAGCTTATAGCAGCTGGCAACAGTTAAAAATTATTTTAATATCTTTAAGGAAAAGGTAAAATGAAAATCCAATTCTGACTCAAACTAGAGAAAAAAAATTAAAAATACATATATGATTGCTTAATTTGTACATTGCTCCATTGCAAAACTCCCAAGAACATGAGAGCTAGGGCATGTTTCCTACTGGTGAATGTCAGGTTTTGAAAAAATAAAGCCTAAGAGCCAGGGATTTCACATTATTTATTACCATTCTATGCTACGTTACACTACGTTATGGCATTCCATACTTTTACTAGATGTATTGCTATTTCTGTTTCAACTTTTATTTCTGCCTCTATTTCTTTTACTGTTCTACTATGTTACCTCAGGCATTCCTTGGGCTGAAAATGCACTGTAAGGTGGCACCACGTCTCTAACAGCCTCATATCCAGGAGGAGGAGGCTCAGATAATGATGTGTTGAAAATCTAGTGAGAAAGAAGGAAAGAAAAAAAGTAAAGCAGGCAATATGAAAAAGAAGTACTGTTTATTCAGGCAGATTTCACAAGTATTTGGAGTTTAAAGGGCCCTAGTTTTAGAACTCTAAATGAGGAGTGGGCAAAACTTTAGCAAGCACTGGACATCCTTTTCAATACGCAGGTTCAGTGTGTGATCTTGCAAATCCCACCTCCACTTTTCACACAGAATCCTGCTTAAATGAACACAGTCTCTAAAAATGGTCTCAGTACAGCACATAAGAGCAAGACAGATCATAATGGTAAAAAATGCTTGCATTCTGTTCATCCCTAGAGCATCTATGAGCACTGGAGTGGCTCTGTAATAAACTGATGTTACTTGTGATAGCACCTCACAAGGCCTAAGCTTCAAGAAACTGAGTTTAGCACAATTACCAATACTGTATAATGAATCCATACAAATAATGATGCTCACCCTCGTTGCTTTCCTCTTTCTAAAGAACAGAACAATTTTAAAATAATTGAATTATGTAAAATAATTCTCTTACATAATTCTCCTTTAATCCATGTATGTCAGCATGCTATATGAATCAGGGTAATTGTTGGTATTCCTAGCACATACATTAAGAAACAAAGACACAAAACATAAAAGCAAACTGGAACCCCTCACTTCCATGAGCTTTGGACCAGGCCCAACACCATCACCAGAGCAGAGGATAGCCTTCCCTCCCAATCTTCCCAGGTGGATAAAGGTGATTTTGTTCCCTGGTTGCAAAAACTGGTGGGTTTTGTACCTCACTTCCATGCTCATCAATTATTGAGATGTAGTTGGGCTTAGTGTCATCTGGATAAGAGAGCAAGACATCATAATGAAACAACTGAACAGAATCCAGACCAAACTCCTTCCACTCAGCTTGGATTTGCTGTGCCAGACGCAGATTCTCCTCTGTTCCTGCTAGGTGAGGAAGGCGTGTAAAATTGCTAGAGAAAAAGAAGCAATGAGTCAGCATCAGGTATTGCAGCTCATAATCAGAAGTCCTCTTAGCCTAGCTGGAAATAAACTCTCTAGAGATGACCAGATCTACCCAGGTTAAATAAGGACCCAGACCTCTCTGCCTCTGTTTTCACCAGTCTTATACATAAATTGAAGTAAAGGGTTTCAGTTTGTCCTGAGCTATCACAGGTGTTTGTATCTTCCTCACAGTGTGGCTTAGCAATCATAGCATAATGACATCATCTGTGGGGTCTTGTCCTTGCTTTACTCCTCGTCTTCTGGGTGATCTTAGGCCAATCACTCCTCTGCATAATAAGACTGACCTTCCTTGTGAGGTACTAAAAGAACTGAGTATAATTGTCTTTGTGAGTTCAATTTAGAAATGTGCATAATTAGTCTGATCCCTGCTTTTAATTAAATCGCTATTCCCATTGGATCCTGCTATTTAAATTATTTTTTGGCACAAATACTGATTTACCTAAAAGTCCATTCTGAGTGTGTCTTGCTGGCAAACAAGACAGTGAGTTCACAGTGGCTTACAAAAAAGGAAGAGGGCCACAAAAACGATCAGAGGGCTGGAATACCTCCTGTATGAGGACATGGTGAGAGAGTTGGGGTTGTTCAGCCTGGAGAAGAAAAGGCTCCAGGAAGACCTTATAGCAGCCTTCCAGTGCTGAAAGGGGGCTACAGGAGAGATGGGGAGGCACTCTTGATCAGGCAGTGCAGTGATAGGATGAGGGGTAATGGTTTTAAGCTGAAAGAGGGTAGATTTAGATTAGATACTAGGAAGAAATTTTTTCCTGTGATGGTGGTGAGGCACTGGAGCAGGTTGCCCAGAGAAGCTGTGAATGCCCCATCCCTGGAGGTGTTCAAGGCCAGGATGGATGAGGTTTTGAGCAACATGGTCTAGTGGGAGGTGTCCCTGCCCATGGCAGGGGGGTTGGAACTAGATGATCTTTAAGGTCCCTTCCAACCCAAACCATTCTATGATTCCATAACAGAAAAACTCAACAGCTTGTAACTTTGAAGTCAGGCAGTGTGAATAACAAAGAGCGAAAGATGTCATAAATAGTGAGCAACCCAATGTCTGAAAAAAAAATTGTCCAGACCATTGAGAAAGCCCAGTGGTGATATGAGCTGAAGAAATTCCCAGCTGAATGAGGCTGCCATCATGATTTCCTCATCCCGTCATATGACCATGCCATCAACATGCCACAGAAGCATGTGTCACACCAGCTGGTATTAATGAAGGAAATTGGATCTTCAATAAGGAAGGGTTACATCACAGTTCCCTGAAACACAGATAAAACCTACAACCAAGAACCTGCACACCATCATCTGTCTGGTGGCATCCTTGGGCTGGTACTCGCTTGGATTTTATTTTCTTTTTCTGATCGTTTAGTCTATACATTGCTTACTAAAGAAACTGCTTGATGTTTTCAGCTTTCATTTCAGCCATAAACACTGCCTTCATCTCCGCATGACTCACGGATGTCTTCTCCTCTGCAGGTTTTGCAAACCACCCTGTAGAACATACCAAAATACAAGAGTAACAACACCAGAGCAATATTCCCATGGCACACACCATTTCTCTTTGGTATGACCACAAGATTTGCACAGTATGCAAAGATTTGCACAGTGTGTTTTTATCTCAGCACAGACAAGCATCCACAACCTAATGCAGCCTGCATGGTTATGGCAGTGGCAGTCCCCCCCATATTAAGAGGACTTATTTAACTAGGTAGATATTGAGGGGAATAAAATACTATATTATATTTATTCATTACAGTTATTTTATTGTAAATGCTAAGGAGACTTATCTTCCTTTAGCATCAAAACATCATGCTGCCAGTCATGTCAGTAGTATCAGTCACCTCAGTAATAAGGCAGCAGCTTAACAAAAAAAGCACAGAACCACAGACACCCTTTCTAAGGAACAGATGTCTTGCAACTCCTTTCTCATACTCTGGTCTGTCTGGCTCTTATTCTGGAATCCTTCCCTTACTTTGCAGGCATTGCGAGAATAAGTGATGAGAGGAACACCTGGCTAGAAAAACAAGTGTCTCTGACATCTGTTTTTATTTTTAAATCAGAGGCTGGACAAGTTCAGTGCAAACGCAGCAGCAGTTACATGGGTACTGCAAATGAGCAAACCGGTGGGGCTACCTGCAGAGAATGGCTAACAAGCTGGCACCAGCAAGGCACTGGTCACTGGCACAGCAAAAGGTTCTTTCCGCATGGTAGAGTACTTCAGCCAGGGCTTCCCAATGGCACAAAGCCCAAGTACATATCAAAACGCATTTCAAAATATACATGGCTCTTTTGTTTTCCTTCCTCCCCCAAACTGATCCTGATCCATCTGTGAACCAAAGGAAGGAAGGGAGGGGAAATCTCTTTTATCAGGAACCCACAGGCCTGCCTGCTTGGGCCATGGGGACAGTGGGACATTAAATTAAAGACTCCATCACTCCTCGAGTCACTGCTCCTCCAGACCCCTATCTCTCTTCCCGCCTTTCAGGTCTGGGCCGGTGCGGTTTCAGTGCAGCAGGTTCGAGGGGCCTGTCTTCCTTCCCCTCCTCACAAACCCAGTGCCTCTTCTCTCGCCTACAGCACAACTACTTTATCTAAAAGGAAATCAAAAAGCAAGTCAAAGAGATCCTCTCAGCGAAAGCCCCCTTTTCCCGCGGAGGAGCCAGAAACTCGTGCCCGCCCCGGCCGGGCCCGCGGGTAGGAAGGGAGGTGCCGGCCGGGCCGAGCACGGACGGACTCGGCTCGAGCACCCCTGGCACAAAGCCGTGGGC